GGATGACCTCCACCCGTCGCTGGGGGTTGAGCCTGACTTTGTTGCGGGCTTTCTACCGGGGGGGTTTCCGAGTTCAGGCTGTAGAGCGGTTTCCCGTTGGTTCAGGGCCCCTAAGCGGTCAAGGACGGAGATTGCACGACGGGGTCCCTGGGGTGGAGCCGATCTCTGTGTTCTTTCAGGGGGCAAGTTCGTGTTGGGCAGTCGGTCGCCGGCGATCTGGGTGGTATTGTTTATTCGGGAGGGTTCTGGGGATCCTGCCCTTGCAGCCTAGCCATGATGTAAGGCCGCTAAGTAGCGTGCGGCGGCCTCTACTATCTCGGGGGTGAGTTCCACTGGCTGGGTCCGTGGGACACCAACGGCCGGTGGGCGTGCGTTCGAACGGACCTCTTCCTCTTCTCGGTGACCTCCCCGGTCAGCCTCCCTCTCTAGGGGAATATGCTGATCGTTCGGTACCTGCGAGGGGGGGGGGGGCGCTAAGGGTTTCTCTCAAATCTCTGACTGGTCTAGTGACTGCCTGGTTAGTTCGAGTATTTCGTCGTGTAGTTACCATGCTTTCAGGGTTTTGAGGAACGAACGATAACTTTTCGTATCGATCCCCACGGACGGTGCCAATGTTGGTTTTATGACTTTTGGGCAGTCAACGGCAGGCCAACACTACCGTTAAAATAACGAGAATATAGGAAAAATATAGGAGAAATATATGGAGAAAATATAGGAACTTGGTATTGATGAGTATTGCTTGTGAATAATGAAAGTTGTCCCCCTTCTTCTACGTGAAGGGTCCATTTATACATATTTTGGGCCTAGAGCCCTACAAGCAATAAGAATTCTAGACTGCCTCATATTGGGAGTCTTAGTTACATAATAAAACCTAATTCTATCATACTAGAGATAATGAGTCCAATTCTAATTATATTGGGAATAACCTGCCCAATCTTTGACAAACTCTTGGGTTGCTCTATGTCGTATATCTTTCTTGGGCTTCTTTGATCCAATTACTTTCATGGGCCGGTCCATGTGGCCCAGGCCTAGTATATTATCCATCAACTACTATTATGTTTGAGAGTGAGAGTATCTATATTATGATATTTATATCTATCGAATCCCATCATGAGTATATGAGAAGTAAAAGTATCATTTATTACTTTTGAGTACTAGCATGAAAGTATAGTCTTGCTTGCCACTTATCTCTCTTGCATATTATCTATCCTGAAAGTACCTCTGTATTTGCATAAAGTCAATGACATCTCTATAGGAGTGTTGTATCATAGATTCTAGTACATGATATATGTATGAACATGACTTGTGAGTGGATATGTATTTGTATATGCATATGTTACTAAGTATATAGGCTTATATGTGAAGTATCCTTACTTGCGACCTATTGCTTGATTGCCATGCTTGCATATGTTCATACCTGATATATATATATATGAATGTCAACACTTTTCCAAAATTTATATCTATACTATGTTACAGGGTTGAGTGGTTTTATACTTAGCATTTTCATTCTAACGGGTTTATTTTCCTATGTGTTTCTATAACCCCTTTTCAGGTGGACTTGATGCATGATGAAAGCGCGCATTCGATGTAGTAGTGTGTAGCCTAGAGCATAGTAGATGCTAGCCTTAGTTATCCGTCTTTCCTTTTTGGATATCTTGTTGGTTATGGTTGTAGCTAGACTACCGTACTTTTGTCGGTGCGTAGACACCGGGGTTCGCATACCCCCTTTGGTTTATGTATTGAGCTTTTGACTCTAGATTTGTAAAAATTTAGTCTGTGCAGTTACTCGACGGTGGGTAGTTATGGCGGTAACACTCTCTTTTGAATGTTGATTTTGGATTTATATATCATAGTTTATCTTTATTTCCTTTCTAGGCTATAAAGTATATAAAAAGGGATGTTACAGTTATACTATTCTTTTTGTTTAGGGTTATAACTATTTGTTAGGAGAAATAATTTGTGATGATTGTTCTAGTACAATTGAGTTTTTTGAGGACTTCTCTCTATATTTAAATGGCTACATTTCTATATTGTCATCACATTGGAATAAATATTGCATTAAGCATTTCTTTTTATGGTGAACAGAATAAATGTTTTCTTTGATTTTATTTTATTTGAATACCCAAACAATAAAAAAAAAAAAAATAAATAAATAAATAAATATATATATATATATATATATATATATATATATATATATATATAATGACTTCTGCACGCGGGTTTCCAAATGGACATATCATTTAATACATTAAATATACTATCCATATTTGTATGTCCAATTATAATACTTTGGGAAAGATTTGTTGCCATGCCAAACAAATGAATAATTTTCAAAGAAAACACTCGTTTTTCAACAACTTACTATTTCAGAAATACCGATAAGTATCTTTTTATTTGAGTTAATATTCAAAATAGTTCTCGACTATAGTAGTTTTATTCAATTTTGTCTCGAATAACTTTTTGTGCTTAATTTAGTCATTGATTTTGATGGTTTTACATAGTTTAGTCCATTTGTTAAAAAGTCTATTAGTTTGATGTTAGAAATAAGGTCATAATGGTAATTTCGCAATCCCATTTGAGATGATTCATTCATCTTCCCTTTATTAAGCTCCATGCACAAATGGAGATGTTTATGCCCAAATCAATTTCAACCCTAAATAAATATTTGCCTACAGTTTTTTTTTTTTTTTTTAAATAGCTTTTTTAGTTGAATTTGGGTACGGAGATTTGAATTTCTACGTAGATCTTAATAAGGGGAAGAATAATGAATCATCCCAAAGGGGATGAATGATGAGAAATTACCATTAGGACCATATTTTTAATAGTCAATTAACAGAATTTTTAACAAATGATTAAATTGTGTAAAATCATCAAAGTCGATGACTAAATTAAGCATAAAAAGTCATTTATGACTAAATTTAGTAAAATCACTATAGTCGATGACTATATTGTGTATTAACTCTTTTTTATTTTATTGAGAGTCGCCGAGAAATTCGTTAAAAAAAAAAAGAGGAAAATTACACTTTTTCCCATGTGTTATATACTTATAGTACTTTTTCCTTTGAATTATTTAAGTGGCAATTTTTCCCCCTGATATTTTAAATGGACATATTTATCCTTAAATAAATATTTCATTTATTTTGCTTCTCCAAAAAATTATAACCACGATTTGGTTCAAATTGAAAGCCACTATAGCAACCAAACAGAAAGGTTATGATGACAATTTAGAACCGGAACCCGATATTTTGAATTTATTAAAATCGCAAATCGAAACTGCTAGTTCATGTTCTGATTTCTGAATTGAAAAAATATAATACTTTAGTTGATGAATTTAGAACATTTTAAAAATAAAAAATAAAATTTTAAAATAAAGTTTGAACCAACAGTTCAAATTGAATATGAAACCGTGAATTGACAGTCAAAATCAAAACCAAATTGCGTTTATATATACTTATATGTGAGAACCAGAATAAATGCGAAAACGAACATACACTATTTGCAAATATTATAATTCTAATTTTAAGCTAATGTTAGTAGTTGTTCTAATTTGAACCTCCGGTTCACGGTTCAGATCCATCTTTTTCAGTTCACGCTTTTAATAAACGGAAACCTAAATATTGGGTTCTGGTTCTGAATCATAACAAAAAAATTCCGATTCAATTGCTATCGTGTCCAATTCAGTTCGAACCGAACCGTAGTCATCCTTACGTATAAATAATAATTTGTTGAAGAAGAGAAATAAATAAAATATTTATTTTAAGGGTATAAATGTCCATTTTATATATCAGGGGACAAAACTATCACTTTTATAATAATTGAGGAGAAAATGTAGATGCAGGAATAATTTAGGAGAAAAAGTGCTATAAACATATAACTCAGGAGAAAAAAATATATGCAATTTTCGCTTTTTAAAATAAAAAGAATGTTTTTAAAAAATTAAGGGGTATGGCCTACCACACTTCTAAAAGGAAATAGGAATTCAATTAAAAAAAAAATAAATTCAAATTGTATCTTGAAACTATTGGGCGCAAGAGCGCGGTAAACAAATCGAACAATGCGCGCCAATACAAATATCATCAAATTCCACAACCCTACCCCAAAGCTCGACGCTCCACCCGTCTCGTCTCTGCTCATTCGCCTCTTTCCGGCATTGGCATCGGCATCCGCCCATTTTCCGATCAAAGCACAGACAGATGAGTATTCCGTTCAAGTCGATTTCCTTTTTCATTTCATTACTACATTCCGTATATCTTATTGTCTTAAATCCTCAACGTCGCTTGATTATCGGCGAATGTCGCTTGATTATCGGCGAACTATTATACCTTCTAAGAACATCGTTTATAATTTTCCATTTTGAATCAAGGTGGAGGTTTAGGAGATCTTCCTAATCTAGGCTAATCTATTCATGTTGTAGTTCTCCATTTTGAATTTCTCTTCTCAGAGTCGTTGCAGGAAGGATAGGCTAATCTTCCAGCTTGTTTGGATTGTTAGGAATGGAGCAAGCGTGTGCTTTAGCCAAAGACATACATCCGCCGCTGGTAGACAAGGTATTCACCATTAACATTGCTTCAGATTTTGAATTCCAATGAAATGTTATTTATTAAGTGCTGTTGTCTGATCATGATTCTACATGAAAATGTTGCTCTATTGTGCTATATTTTCGTTGTTGTACAGCCTCTGGAATGATTGTTTCTTTCTTTTTCATTTACTGCACCAATCTTATGAAAGGGAGAAAGAGTTAATTTGTTTTTACTTTGGGTGGGAAATTAATCAAATTATTGAGGTTAAGTAGAGCTTAGTTTCTGTTAGTGTTCTGTTTTCTCTTAGACTGTCTAATATATTGATGAGAAAGAAATGCATTTCTTCAGGGAGTTATTTGTTATTTGGGCTTTATAGATGTCTGTCAATAAATTGCGATTATCATCTGCAAGTCTCTACTAATTATAAGATAGACAAGGATGGCATGGCATTCATGAAACTCTGGCACTGAATGGTTCTTAAAAAACTCCAATTCATACATTTGTATAGGGGCAATATACAGTACAGATCAAAGTTGTTACTCTCTATATCTCTCTCTCCTTTGGTATCTGTCATTCCTGAAAAATGGCTCACTTTGTGAGCATGAATGAAATTATACAAATTGCTTATTTATACATCATGCCCTTTTGTGAAGGGGCCTTGCCAAGAAACATGTATGATTTCTGCTGCTAGGTATTACATGTAAAATCACATGTCCTGTTAAGGCAAGAAATAATTGAATGTACAACAATTTGTTAGTAATCAAACTTCTACCCTAGGAACAATCTGTTGTCTTTGACTTAGCAGGCCTTGGTTAGCTCCCTATTTATTAATCCTCTCTGCAGCAGAAACATCCTTCTTTCGGGTTTCATTTTTATTCTTGACCAACCTGCTTGCTGGGAAGTGTAGTCTGGCCATGAGTGGTCGCGGTGCTCTTGTTTTATGATCAAATCCCCTGACACAGACAAATCCTGCAAAATGCTTTTCAAATTACTTTAGCAGGGAGAATAAGGCAGAAGGGTGGTAATGAATATAGAAAAGGACTCTATCAGCAAAATGGCTTTAAAAGGTCTCATTGTTGTTGCTTTTTAATGCAAAAAGATGTTCATACCTTTCCAGAAACACTGTTGAATTTGTTCAGTTGACAAGCCTAGTAAGTACAAATAATTAGACACTGATTTGATTCTCAAATAAAAAATTTATTCACCGTGGTTCAATGTCCATTTTAGTATACCTTTAAAAATTGTGGAGACAGAAGTCCCAAAGTAGACTGTCCTTCTTGGCAGGTACCATATCATCCGTCTTGGAACATCAATTGGATTAAGACTGGAATCATGATCAGCAAATACCTGCACAATCAAGATCAGGTTTTGTGATATTTCTTGATCATATATTCATATGGTAAGCCTAAACTTTCCAAATATCATCTGGCCATTTGCAATTTTGCACATAATAGTGTATTTTTAGCAATAGCATGCATTATAATATTTCTAGAACATACAATAAGCCCTAAAATGTTTGACTATCATTTGTCCATTTGCATGTTTTGGCTTTCATATTTAGCATGGATCTCCAAATTGAGACTTGCACTGCACAGTGATTAATAAAACAAATTAGATTTACAAAATTACCTCATTCACTTGGAAATATGTGCCATTGAGTGGGAAGCTCCCTCTTGTTGCTGTTCGGCATGGTATCTAGAACAACGTAGCCATTTCAGCAAAAGAAGTACTAACCTATATTTTTGTTTATATTAGCATCCTTTTTGATTGAATATGTAACACTGCATCACTTACCAGAAGAGTGCCTCTAACTGTTTGTGAATCGGCTTCCCTTACACTGTTACATGAGTAACATGTTTTTTCATTGCACAATCTACCTGATGCTTGGGCATTGCACTTTGTTTCAGGTGGCTGAATTGAATTGGCAGTTTCACCTGGGTTATTTGATGCATATCAGGTAAGCATTCATGTTACGATAATATGGAAATTCAAATAATAATATCTCTATATTGTCTAATGTGACTCATTTTACTAAAATAGATAAGTTATTTTGAGTAACTTCTATTGAAATGAGATGGTATAATTATGTCACTGGTTGCGTATGAAGTATTATTTATAGGAGACTACAAAGTCCTATGGAGTAATTGGATTTGAAGACTTGTATTTGATGTAAATTGGAATGCTAGGAACTTATATATTTGGAATAAGCATTGGGGAAAAATGGACAGCTTATTTCTGGCCCAAACATTTGAACCCAACTAGAAGGAAAAGATTATTCAAAAACTGAAGAGGAAATGGAAAAGAACTGCTAGTGACCCACACTTTCTGCCACTTCAATGGTAGTTAGGTCACTGACATGTACTTTTCCCTTAGACTTAGCAGGATCACCTAATCATTAGCTTAGTTTTGTACTGAAATGCAAGGAGCCAGTTTTGCTAAATTTACCAATATATTGCAACTTGCAAAATAAAGATTTATGTTTGGGAAGTATGAGTTAAGAGAGAATTTATTTAAATCATGCTTGCTTACCTGGTGTCCATATAGCTAGAAGGTATGGAGTTGGATCATCAGGTTCACGTCTATCCAGCTGGAGTTAAAGATTGTGGGTCAGTGGTCAAGTTTAGTTCATCTAGCCAAATATTTAACTTCAAACAAAGTACATATTAATAACTAACCCCTTCAAGCAGTGGATGCAAATCTGGAAGTTCATACCTGCAATATATCATAGACACATTGGCTTTCAGCAAGAGATGCTAATAATATAACTTTGTAACGGAATTTGTTTAAAAGAGTGATAAAGCTTCTAGATCTCAATGATCAGGGAGTTGGTTAACTGTTGCTTCCTCATTATTGATGGTATTTTATCCCTATAAAATATAAATATCAGATGTTGATGTTTCAGATTTTACAGGTAAAACTTTCTTTTCATTTGATAAAGCAAATGAACAGGTTAGAGTTGTTACATTTGTCTTAGTGGTTGCCACTTTAAGATTATCAACAAGTTTCCAGCAGTAGTCATTTTTTTATGAACAAATTATAAAATCTACCAAGTTTCGTTCATTCAGAGTTGTTTTAGTTCTGTTATCAGTATGTCATCAATCTTGAACAAGTTAGAAACTTACACTTGGTGCTCCGTCCGCAGATGACTAATGTTTTTTAGTTTGGGTGTCGGGATGGAAGCCGCATCTGGTTTCAAAGTAATTAAAGCTTTGGACAGATCACCGTCTTGCATTCCCAAATTTTGCTCTTGCAAGATAGCCTGCAGATTTGTTGTGAATTCTTTCATGTTGAGCTCGATTGTAGGGATATCATCAGGATCTTCATAGAATGCATCCTCAATGTCACTTGTTGATACTTCTGGCAATGGTTCAGGTGATGCTGGTTCCTCAATAATAGGTTCACAGTTGCTAGTAATGAGTTCTCCTACTTCTCTGTTTACACTAGTTATCTGTGGAGGTTGTGGCATAGGCTTGCTCAAGAAAGCAGGGATAATGCCAGCTTCAACTGCACCAGGTGAACCTACAACACTTATTCCTTCTGACCTTCCTGGGAGAAGAGGCATTTGCTTGAATGCTGCAGCAGGATTACTGTTGGCTGAGATGGGTAGACTTGCACTAACCATACCTTTCTCTTCTGGTCCAGGAAGAGCAAGCCTCGCGCTGCAGGTAGAATGTTATTATGCTATGATATTTACATGTGTTCTAGTCTGATGCATTCATGAAAACTGGAAAACTAGGAATGAAGGCTTCCAATTTCTACCTCATGTGGATGATTCTTCATTTATACAATTATTAAAAAAGTAATTATTCTCTGCTAAATATAAAAAAATTTCAGCAATATAACCCCCCCAACAATAATTACCCAATCATTTTTGGACATTTTTATAATGGCTAGTCTCCACTGGTGAACTATGTCTTAAATCAAATTTTGCTAATTGTATGAGCAGTTTTGGTTTGTAATAATCCTTTTCGTTTTTCACTGATCCACTGACCAAAATTATGAAAAAGCTATCCACACTCAAATATAAGGTTATCAAATTGTCAAAATTTGGCCAATAGTATCTTAAGGTTATCAAATTGTCAAAATTAGGCCAATAGTAAGGATCAAATGTGCTATATGTTGTCAATTAGTTGCACATATGAGTAAATCATAGTGAATAACTAACCTTGCAAAAGCACTTGCAAAATGTCGACATTCTGCTCTCATTGGACATGCATTACAATTTGGTTTGCTTTTTGTGCAGAAAACCTGTAAACCAATATCAGAATAAGCCATAAAGAATCCATTCCTCACGGTAAAGATAATTTTCCTACTCTAGATTGAACTTCAAGGCATGTAGCACTATACCTTTCCAAATGTAATCATTTGATAGTGTAGCTCATACCTGCAGGTAGTACCACATTAACAAGTGAATCATTGACAGGTAAAATTTTTGACATACTTTTGGCCACTAGTTAAAGAACTAGACAAGAACTATTTTGAAGATTAAATGAATTACAGTGTTTTCTGATCCAGCTTGCAGAGTCTGGGCCATATATACTTCTGAATTGTCTCCAGCACTGGGTACCTGTATGGAAACATGGTAAGGCCCAATGTAGTAGAAAAACTTTAGAGTGAATGATACCACAAATATTACTCACAACTCAAGAAGATGTAACTGGAGTGACTCAGGAAGTGGTTGAAGGGGGACCCACCCCAACCGAACAGCAATCCTTCCAACATTTGTATCAACCTAACAAACTCAACTAATGAGTGCTAACAATCAAGTGTCTGAATGATCTTGAGTTGGAAAATGAATCTTACCGGGAAAGCAAGATTGTGTAGTGTTAATAGCCTTACACACTCCACACTTTTCAGACCCAGTCCTCGTATACTTAATAGATATTCCCTGAAATGCAAAAGGTCTATGATGTTGGAGGAAGTTATGGTGCATGATGCAAGCCAATGAGCAAATTTGTGGTATTGTTTTACTCTAGACTCACTTTGCTTTGTCAGGTGGCACATCTCTTAACCATTCTAGGTCTATACTTCCATGATCTCTAACCATACGGTTGAGGAAGTCCTGTACAAGATGTAAAAGCAATAATTTCTCCATTATAAAGTGGATCATTTTTCATGATCTGAAACTAACAAAAGTATACCGAACTCATGCATACCTGGATTCGCTCAGCTAGCATGTTGTTCATTCCTCTTTCCCTGATAGCATCTGAGATCTCCTTGACCTCTGCACAGCGAATTGCTTCATAATCAATTGAGTCCATTGTGTTCTTACTTCTTTCTTTTCTTTCGCCCCTAGATTGAACTTGCCTTCTCAAGCTATCCCAATCAAATACCACCTTCCTGTCCCCTTCGGACTTTCTCTTTCTTGCATTTGCTGCACTAATGTCATTCCCAGTAGATTGTTTGCTGGATGAATGTATTTGCCACTCTGCATTTGATTATTCTGTATTTCTAAGTATCTCACACGAGGTGATGAACATTTTATCCACTATTATATGGTTTTAAAAGTTTTTTCTTTGCATTACCTGATTGTCTTTTAGCATTGGCTTCAGTAGGATTTGAGTCTGCAGTGATGGTGGTTTCCAGTTGAATGATCTTGGATGTCTCCTGTTGATCACGACAGGTGGGCAGCTTGATGTTTGCAGAGTGAGAATCTGGTTGTGGATTAACTTGGTGTGCTGACATCTTGTTTATAAATGCATTTTTGTGGAGTCCTGGTGGTTGATTTATTGGAGATGCTGTTTCTTGGGTATTTGAGGTGCTTATATGTCCTGCCATATGCCCCATGCTTTTGCTAGAGTAATCCGAAGTTTTTGCTGTGTTGACATTATTAGCTGTCAAATGCAAAGATGTGGTTTTCCTCACACTATCAAAGGTTGTTTCCCCTGATCCCAAGTATTCTTTCATGGGCATCCAGAAATCACCAGAAGTAGTTGCTGAATTTTGTTGACACTGGATATTAGATTGGATCTGGTAATCTAAGGTAGTACCATGTCTGTCCACTGTAACGTTTTGTCTGTTGTACACTGGATTAGCTGATTGCTGATATTCAAGCATTGAGCTCATTGTTTCAAATAGTGGACTGCCCATGTTATTATTCTGGTGTTTTTGGAATGGAGCTGTTAATTCTGTAGGTTGAGGAAATATCAGATGACTCTGGTTATTCTTGGGGCTGTGTTCACTTAAATGATCTTCAGCTTCTGAGTTGGACCCAGAGCTGGATCTGATTTCTTCATTGGCTTGAAGAATGAAAGAGTCAGAAGAATTTTGTGATGAAATGACTTCTTCCTCTGTTCTCCTGGGGTGCTCATTTGCCAAATGGACCTTTCCTTTCACCAGATTTTCTATTACATGTTCTGATGCCTCACTGGATGTCAGAGAGCTTTGACCACACCCTGGCTGCTTTATTATGTTCTGATGATATGTGATGGTGCCATCTGGATCTATTACTTGAATCTCTGGTTCCTCAATCCATGCACTTACCCCATTTTGGCAATTTGTTTCCTTGATGCTCCTTGACTTCACAGGAAACCTGGCTGCTAGGGACATGAAAGCAGAGCTGCACATAAAACAAAATATGAATAGGAGTGTTATATTTTGTGTGCTCCAGTTTTGCTTTTTAATGCAAAGTCATTTGCCTTACCTTGAAAGATGGTCTGACACATTCTGTGTGAGGAACACTCCTATTACAGAGTCAACTACTGATCCCTTCCATTTTGAGAATCGTCTATCTCCTGCAAAGATTAAAATTGTGAATGTGCAGCCATGACTTAGGTTGGTTAAGAAGGATTTTGTGGTCATGGAAATAAATCCTGGCTACTATGTCTAGCCAAAACTTTTTGAAAACTGCCTTTTATGCTTTCCATATAGGTTGTAGTGATTGGTTCAACTAGAGAAACATATTCTGAAGTACTGTTGGGAACTACAATGATTTAGAGAGCAATGGGATCTATGATACCTTGAACAAGATGCATTCTTGCAATAAATGAGTCAGCCCGTCCGCGGAAAACTTCCCTTTCTTCTTCCCACCATTTCTCCTTATCCTTGTCCATTGTTTGTGTGCTTTCACTTCCTTCCTTCCCCATCAATAAGTCCCAAAGTTTACTTGTCTCTGGGTCAAGGTCAACTTTAGGCCGTGGCTTTCGCTTTTTAGTAAGATTGTATCCTTCAAATGGTATAATTGCACCATCTCCTTTGTATGGAACAAGTGCATTTTGCTCATTTGGAACCACATCCTTGTCACTGATAACCATGCGCTCCAGCCGGACAGCAAGTATATCAACAGTAACTGGGTACTTCCCTTCCTCATGTAGCCCTGCATCGAGAATGTTATTGTTATTTGAGTCTCATGATTTAAGAAAATAGAGAAACTGGTGATGTTGGTTATGTAAATTGATGAACAGAAAAACCTCTTGCTTTTGTTGAGGCTTGTTGGTCACTTTGTGTATTCTTGCTCTTTCTTCGAGGAGGTTTCTTTGGACTGGATGTTTGATTGGATGATGCCCTTCCTAGTTCCCATGTACTTGAGGAAATCATACTGGGAGAAATTCTTGATTCATGCCTTTGTAGAGACCCAGAAAGTGAGAGACTTGGATACTGATAATTCCAGTTGCTACTTGCAGCTAGGGCTTTGCGACCATGGACTTCAGTGCCTTCTCTGGATATATGCTTTGCCACTATTTCTTTACTTTGGTGCAAATGAGATGTAATGCATTGCTTCTCTGTATCTAAGTGCAATTGATGTGAAGCACGCTGTCTCAGGTAATGAAGCTTCAAAGCCAAGGAATCTGTGTGCCGGTTGCTCAGAATCCCATTCATCCTATTCTCTGCTTGTTTACAGGTTATTGTGCCATGAAGATTTGAATTTGATAATCTGTCATTAGCATGGGATATAAAGCTGCTCTGCTGAACATGTGTTGAGCCACCTTTATTAGATGTCAAACAGGAAGGCATACTTGTTATAATCTCATAAAGTGTGCCCTCAGACTTCCTCTTTTTGTGAGCTTCTGATCCTATCTGCAGTGTACTGCAATGAAAATTAGGCTGCCCTGTCTGAGACATCTTGTGGTGCAAAAATTGAGATCTAAGCAGTGCAATAGTTTGTGGATTGGTCAACTCAGAACTTTGGGAGTAGTCTCTCTTGTATCCTCTTTTCTCATTCATATTGGCTGTATCTCTCACCAATTGACCAATGCTCTGCAATGTTGACTGTCTGGTATCATCAGTTTTTCCTTGGATTGTTCTTGTTTGAAATCCAATTTGGCTTGCACCCACTTCAGGGGTAAGCTGATGTACTTGGTTGTATCCATTCTGGCTGCTGTTTTGATATAAAATAGCATTTCGCATGTTCAAATTTCTAGCAATGGCATTCAATGTATGGCTCTTACTTGTAGCTGAGCTTGTACTCAGACTAAGAGACGTTTCAGGAGCAGTATAGATGCAATTGCTTGTAGTTTCTGCTTGCTGACCTCCATTCTGTAGTTCATGTTGGATTGATGCTGTAAGTGCCTTGTTGAGACCCAGAGCCACTGTTGTATTTTGATCATCCAAGTTCAAATTAAAAGATTGGTCTGTGTGTTTTTGTGCTTCTACCTTTGTTACTTCATTTCTATCATGGCTTTCACCTGTCACTTCATTTCCTAAGTTGAAATTTAGAGCCCTCCTGCAAGAGTTTACATGATTTTCTGGATTTGAAGCTTCAGCCTCATTCACTATATTGGATTGTTCAGTTGATGGGGAGTTGAGACCCTTTCTCCTCACGTACTTCCTTTTTCCAGATGGAGTCTCCTTGGGTGTACTGCCTTTCGTTGAAGGAGTCCTTTGTTTCCTTTTGGGTTTCCCTTCCACCACCACCTTTGGCCGGTGTTTCCGTCTTTTCTGAGGTTTCAGCTGGGGTGTCTTGTTAAGGTCAATGTCTCCATTTCCTCCACTTACCGAGTTGCATTCCTTCTGCAGTGGCGATATGGCTGCAGATGATGAATCTGGAGTATTCAGTGTGAGCCCAACATTTCTTTCCTGCTTATCCTTGTCAGGAGTTGAGAATTCCTCAACGGTATCTAGTGGGTGCATCATTATTTGCTGCACCTTATCTGGTGTTACCGGGGAAAATTGGTAAAGACTTGCTGTACTAGAGCTTGCAGCAGTGCCCAGGGTTGGTGTATATAGTTTGCAGCTGGTAGGATGCAGCACAGAGAAACCGCCTGTCATAAAGCAGCATTCGGTATTTTAATTAATCAGAACAAAGTACTACAATATGCTTTGACTATCCAATCCAATCAACAAATTCTTAAATTTTAGCTTCTGTAAGAGAATTTGTCATGCTTATATACATGCCTAATATCGTATGCTTATCCTGTTTATTTCAACTTGACTGTCAGATGCCTATTAGTGAAAAGGAGTTAATACCTCCAATGGTCCTCTGAGTATTAGAGGTTTACTAGCTGTGGTCTTCCGAGTTCTAAATGACCTCCATGTTTTTAAAAATAACCACCCGTGGTCTTTTTAGGACATCTCAGTGGTCATTTTAAACTTGGGTTATTTTAATAATTAGGACCATGGGGTGGTTATTTTTTAAAACATGGAGGACCATTGGAGGTCATTTAAAACTTAGAGGACCATAGTTGGTAAACCCCTAATACTCGGAAGACCATTGGAGGTATTAACTCTAGTGAACCAGGTAATAATGGGTAGTGTAATTATGCTTGTGTAACTAGGTCATACACTTATACTTGCAGACCGTCTCATGGATCTTTGTTTGTGAGACGGGTCGGGTTGTATTTTTAATTCAAATTAGTATTAATTTTTTTTACAATAAGTATTACAATTTCTTTTATAAGTAATATTTTAGTGTTTCACATATAAGTATTATAATATTTACATTAGAATTATACTTTGTAAGTATTATAATTTCAGTTATAAGTATTACAATATTTATTATTGGTAATAATCATTTTACACTTAATAGTATCACAATTTCACATATAAATATTATAATATTTATAAGTAACAATTTATTTATTTCAAATTGGTTTAAATTTTTTGTAATAAGTATTATGATTTCTATCATAAATAACAATATGTTATCTACAACTTGGCCCGCTTCACGGATTCTCACAAGTTTTTGCCTTTTCAATGAGATATTGTTCTGGGTTGTATTTGAAATCCTCACAATAGAGCATCACACTTTAAAGAGGTTTTCAAGTTTTGTTATCTACATGCAATTGAAATGTGGAAAAAAGTCATTTGTACTCGTTCTGAACTCCTGTCCGACATGACTTCGAGAGTTGGAATCAGGGGGTCTGGTGAGTGTTGATCCCCTGATGCCATCCCGCTATGTCAAGTGGGAACGGGAGTACAGGCTGTGCTCTTGAAACATTTAGTTAACATACCAGAATGAGAAATAAACACTATATGAAATGAAGAAAGTGTACCATGTGGTCGGTATTGTCTGTTGTAACCATCAGAAGCTGCACTTGAACTCATTGAATGGGCTTGCTTCTGAAGCATCGGGCTCGCTGTGTTACATTGTCTATAACCGCTGCCTTCCAATGGGGAACAGGAATTGGTACTAATCGGTTTACCAGTTGCATAGGTGTTCTTGTCGGGTGTTGCATTTGAGCAATGTGCCGTTTGCAAGTTTCTCATCCCAAACACTTCTGCTAGAGTGTTACAGTTATTCCAAGCTGGACTGGAATGGCCTAGATTTTGTCCATACGAGTCTATATTCTGACTATAACTTCTGCTTTCAACTAGGGTATTATTCCAATTATGATTAAGCTCCCTATTGTACAAATTTGTTGGCACCGTAGAATTTGTATTCTGGAATGCTCTCGTATTATCCATTCTTTCCACCGAATTAACATTTTGAGTTTTCCCTGTATCCTCAGCACTGTCTTGCAGGAGGTGCTCATAGATACCAATCAGATCCTTCCAATTTGACGCCTTCTCCATCTGGTTCCCCTGCATTTCAGCTGGAATACCATTTGGCCCTGGTAAAATTGGCCTCTGCAGCTCCTCCTGCTGATTCCCGAGCTGCATTTCAGCAGGAACAAGATTGGGGGGTCCTGGTAAAATTGGCATTTGTGGTTCCCGCGGGCTCATCTGGTTCCCCTGGATGTCAGATGGAACAAGATGAGGTGCGGTTAACACCCGTTCCTGCCAATTCCCTTGCATGTCAGCAGGAATAAGATTGGGTCTCGACGAGATCTGCCTTTGAGGTGTCATTGGAATCCAAGGATCCCCATTGTCGACGACTCCATTCTCCCGGGGCATAAAAAATTCCCTCCCCAAATTCATATGAGGGGGGTTCATCCTCTTCAACTAGCTGCCTCCAATCTCTCCTACTCTAGAAGAAAATTCATGAATTTTGCACACCAAACCCTAGCAGCAGCATTAACCAGCAACCACAAAACCCTGCAGCAAAAACACAAAATCTTCATCATTCATATCTCAAGTCTCAACCCCCCAGAGTTCCATTCCCATCCAATCCAAGAAGCCTATCTCTACCTATTCAGAACAGCACACAAGATTGAACCCCCCCCCCAAAAAAAAAAAAAACTAAAAAAGTGCATTGTTTTTAGAAGAAAAAAAAAAACGGAAAATGCCATCATGCAATAAATGCCGGCAAATTCATTTCAAGAAACAGTTCTTTATCCCCAAAATTCAACCAAAAAATAAAAACAAAATTTTTATTAATTTTTCCATTTCTCCAACCATGCCAGCAGGCAGCAGGCAGCAGCCCCCCTCTGTACCAATTACCAATTTCACTCAGCACAGCACAAATTTCCCAAAATGAGTTGGGAATACAGAAAAAAGAAGCAGGAAATCAAAAACACCAAATCAGAGAGAGTAAACACCAAGAATTCACTGAATTCAAATGGGCAAAGATCAAATCAACAAAATCTGCAGGCACGTGATTTTGAGGTTTTAGAAGAAAAATGCAAATCCCCCACTACTTAGAATGGGTAATTAAGCAACAAAATTCAGCAAAATAAAATGCAAAACAAATTCCCTGGAATATAAAATAATTATCACGTGCAGCTATGCTCACCGATCTCTAGCTGTGCGACTTCACCGGAGTATGTCGCCTGAGAACGAGTCAATGCCGGAGAGACAAGTCAGCCTCGTTAAACATGTGAGAGAGAGAGAGAGAGAGAGAGGAAAGAGAAAGAGAGAATGAGAGAGAGAGAGAGAGAGAGAGAGAGAGAGAGAGAGTAAAAGGGTATGAAAATTACAGAGAGACAGCCACTTTATATACAAAAGAAAGAAAGTGTATTATGTAGTGAAGTAGTAGGTTCCATTCTAACGAGAAGGCCACACCCACATTTTGGTCAAGTCCATATTCAATGCATAAAATCCTTATTTCCTCCAAAAACTTAATGCAACGTATATATATTTTTATCTTTTGGTTCAATTGTGATTGTTTTTTATTTGGAATTTCAATTATTATTTATCTCGCTGTGTAAACTAATTATGATTAACGCTTTTGTTTTCCATCACGTAAATCTCATGCATAGTGCTTTCCGTGGAAATCTTTCAATACAATTTTATATTCCTAATTAAACGTTTTAAGATATTTTTACAATGCTGTAATCTAGAAAAGGAAAAGAGACCGTTGGGAAAAGAGACCGTTGGGACTGTAACGTAATGACACATATCAGCTTGTTTTGTGAGGAAGACCAATAAAGTAAATAATCTTTTACTCCTTTGGTTGCAGCGTCAGGATATACGTCATCTGAGTTTACGAGAAAGAAAGAAAAAAACTAAATAAAGACTAAAATAAATAAATAAATGAAGAAAGACCAAAAATAAAAAAATAATCTTCTATTCTTTGACTGCAACGTCATAATACACATTAGCTAAATTTGTGAGAGAGAATAAAATAAAAAAGACCAAAAAAGTAAATAATCTCTATTATTATTATTATTATTATTATTATTATTATTATTATTATTATTATTTTGACAACAATATCATGACATACGGTGCTATAGAGTTCTCCAAAATTTAATATTTACTATTTTTTTTTCTTTTATAGCATACTGGGACTATAGTATATTTTGTCATTTAATGTTGTTGGTCTTTTAAGGTATCATCAAATTTATTTTTGTCAAAATATCGAATAATGATATGCATGTTTACTGTGCAGTATGGCCTGTTAGTTTCAGGTACATTTTGTGCAAATTGTGCAGAAGATCTGACTTGTTTCAATATCCATCACATTAATTATCAGAAATATTAAAAGCAAAAACTAAAAAAATAAAAATTACCGTCTCTACAACAGTAATTTAATTTCTTTAAACATTTAAGTGACTCCTTGCTTAACTGCAAAAGAGTCAAGAAATTTGATAAACTGAAAATTAAGGAGTTTAATTAATCACTTTTGATGTAATTGTGAGGTTAAAACGCCAAGCAGTAATTCTTAAATGGGAATTAATTTCATATCACCATTAGTTATTAATCTATTATAGTATAGAGGTACTTGCAATTTATGTTTTCAACTTTTATAGGCCGGGACACATTTGATTTTTGGCTTCCAAATGTTATCCATTTTAAGTTTTGCGCTAGCTGTTAAAGTTCGATTGAAAAAGACACAACATTGGTAATTTCATATTTTATCTTGATGTTAGCGTTTCATTAAAAAGAAAAACATTGTTGTTTGTTTCGGGGCAACCTTAATAATTAGGTTTCTGGGATGGTTTTTGAGGTGCTAATTAGGAGAGAGTGAAGAGAAAAAGAGAAGAAGGGAAAAAGAAAAAGATAAAAGTACAAAAAGATCTGACGTGAAATTATTATTACTAGTAATTCACTCGCGCAATGCACGGAAAAACCAAGGTTATTGCCGAGAGAGTTTTTTTTTCTCTCTCCTCACCCTCACTCCTCCAGTCCCCAACCTAAGCTTCCTTTTTCAAAATCCACACCAAAAACTTAAAAAAAAACTACTATTGGTGATGCCCCAGATTTTATTCAATAGAGTGCTAATGTTTATAAATAAAGTGTCCACATTTTGTCTTTCAACTTTCGTAAAATAGAAATATATATTACAAAAGGATTAATTTTATTCATATTGTGTGCAAATTTAATAAAAAATTTAATAAGTTTATTATGTACAAATTATACAATAAATTTATTTCAATTAAAAGTCAATGACACCATATAGACTATAATGTTGTTAAAGTTCAATTGAAAAAGAGTCAACATTAGTAATTTTATATTTTATCTCGATGTTAGTATTTCTTTAAAAAATAACAATTGTTGTTTGTTTCCTTTGAATTTTATCCAGGCTATGTTTGGCAAAACTAGTTGAAAAGGTAGCTGAAAGCTTAAAAGGAGTTGAAAGTTGAAAAGCTATAAGCTAGAAGCTGAAAACTGAAGAGCTGTTAAGCTAGCGGTTATGCTTGGAAGTGTTTGGTAAAATTAGCTTTTCGATAAACTGATAAATGTAAAAAGACAAAAAAAGACATCTTCATAAAATTTAAATTAGTTTGTTTACATATTAAACTTTAACATTTTGTGTTAAAAAAAAAATTAACATTTTGAAATAAAATTATTAGCATAATAATGATCTTACATTCCATCATGAAGTAGCAATATTGTTGCGAATCTCCTTTATCTCATAATAATAATGAATTAATACCCAAAATCGTCCTCGACTACAGTGGTTTTTCTCAATTTCGTCCTAATCGACTTTGGTGACCTAATACCATCCCAGACTTTTGTGTTTCGCTCAATTTAGTCCTAGACTTTTGTGTTTTTGCTCAATTTAGTCCCTCATTTGTTATTCTGTCCATTTGGTGTTAAATAAATAGATAATTCAGTAATTTTAATATTGGCATCTCTTTACTCATAGACATGTGAACTGCGAAATCCCTTTTTTTTACGAATTACTCCCAGAATTACTCCTAAAACTGCGAATATAAAATTTGATTTGCAGGTCCGGGAGTAATTCTGGACGTAATTCGTACAAGAAAGAGGAATTTCGCACTTCACAAGTTGAAAGTAAAGAGAGATCAATATTGGCGTTATTGAATTGTCTCTTTATTTAACACCAATTTGACGGAATAACAAATGGAGGACTAAATTGAGCGAAACACAAAAGTCTGAGACGATATTAGGTCACCAAAGTCGTTTAGGACGAAATTGAGAAAAACCACTATAGTCGAGGACAATTTTGGGTATTAACGCTAATAATAATAATAATAATAATAATACTACTACTACATAACTACTACTACTATACTACTACTACTACTACTACTACTACTACTACTACTACTACTAACTACTACTACTACTACTACTACTACTACTACTACTACTACTACTATACTACTACTACTACTACTACTACTACTACTACTACTACTACTACTACTACTACTTACTACTACTACTACTACTACTACTACTATACTACTACTACTACTACTACTACTACTACTACTACTACTACTACTACTACTACTACTACTACTA